CTTCTAACTTCTATTTTTACTTCAGTACTTCCTCCAAGACATCTCTCATGACTCTGGTCTCATTAATTCCTCTGTTATGAAATGATTAATAAAATTTGATTGTAAAACCCAGTATTACTGGGGCCAGCCGGTGGTGTAGTGTTAAGGCACTGCATGGTATTCCCACATGGTCAACAGCAGTTTGAGTCACAGACCTGGCAGCTTGAAACTCATGCTGAACATGTGTGCGTACACACAGAAAATCCTAAGAGGAGAATGGAGAAGAAGGGATTGCAGCGTGGCCATCCCCCCGGAGGGTGATTTCTCACTTTCTATCTCTCTGTCTCTCTGGCGAGCACACACACCCTATAGCAAAAACCTCTCCAAAAAAAAAAAAAAAAAAAAGAAAGAACCATCATTACATTATGTATCAAAGTAGAAAAGAACTGCTGATTATAAGGGTAAGCTACTAGTGATTTTAAGGTACATTCCAAATTCATAGTTGCTCAAGTCTAAAAAGTATGCTTTAGGATGAATTAAATGCAACATTTTGACATTGCTGTAATTTTACATTTATTTGTGCTATATGATTAATTTCTATTTCTTTCTTACTCGTAGGGACTAGATCTCTTTGTTCACTACTGGATCGCTTTCTATTTTCACCTTGTTTTGTGTTGCAAACAGGCTTTCAACCGTGGCAGTTCATCAGAAGTGTACTTTTCAGAGTTACTGGTGACCTCATACAACTAAACCCAGCGGTCATTTCATGTGACCTATCGGAAGCTTTTGGCATGGTAGAATACTTCTCCCTTCCTAGGAAGACTTTCTTCATTTGACTTCTAGGAGACCACTTTGGCTTTTTCTCCTACATCTCTGGCCCCCATTCACTGGTTCTGTTCTTATCTCTCCTGGGTCTTAATGTTGGAGAGCACCACGTTCCACAGCTCAGTCCTTGGATCTCTTTTCTTTCTGTATTCAGTCCTGTTCTCATAGCTTTATGAAATATATGTATATATGTACATGTATATATGTAAATGTGACACTTGGATGTCGAACAGACATCTCAGTATGTCCAAATCTAAACTTTCCTTCTTCCCATCCCACACCCCATCAAGCTTAAGCCTCATACTTCCCATCTGTATTACTGGCAACTTCAGTTTTCTGGTTGCTCAAGCTAAAATCATTGGAATTATTTTTTATTATTCTTTCTTATACTCCTTATCCAATCTATTGGGAAAATCTTGTTGGCTCTACTTTTTGTATGTTTCAAGGGCCTTACTACTCCTTTTTTTTTTTTTTTTTTTTATTTGGAGAGGTTTTTGTTATAGGGCATTTGGGCTCGCCAGAAAGAGACAGACAGACAGAAAGTGAGAAATCACCCCCCAGGGGGAATGGCCACACCACAATCCCTTCTCCTCTCGGGATCTTGGGCATGCACGCACACGTGCCTGGTATGAGTCTAAGCCACCGTGTCCAGGACTCAAACCGTGGTCGACTACATGGGAGTCCAGCGACATAGCCATTACGCCCACTGCTGGTCCCGAGAGCCTTACCACTTTTTACCATTTCTTCTGCTACCATCTAATCTAAACCATCATTATCTGTCACCTGAATTTTTGCAGTACCTTCCTGACTGGTCCCTTGGCTTTCATCCTTTCTCCTATTGAGTCTATTCTCAGCATAGCAGCCAAAGTGATCCTTTTAAAACTCTTGTCAGGTCATGTTACTTCTTTGTGTCAAAACTCCCATTTGATTCTTCGTTTTACATGGAGTACAAACTAAAGGCTTACAGTGGCCCACGTGACTCTACCTCATTTAGGGCCCTTACCCTTCTAGGCTTGTTTCTGATTCCTTTCCCGTGTGATCCTCTGCTGCAGCCACACTGGCCTTCTTGCTTTTCTTCATATACACCAGGCATGCTTCACCTTGGGGTCTTTGTACTTCTATATCACCTGCCTGGAATGTTCTGGCATGACTCACTCCATCACTTCTGTTAGGCATCATCCCTTCTCATTGAAGCCTTCCCTGGCCACTCCATTTAAAATTTGAGCCCATAATACTCTTTATATCCTTTTTCTGCTTCATTTTTCCTCTGATGTATTAGACATTATATATTTTTTCATTTATTTTTATTTCACCTCCTTTCCATTAGGACAAGGACTTTTGTCTATTTATCATGCTATATACCAAAACTAGAATAGTTCCTAGAATACAGTTGGTGCTCAATAAGTGTTTACTGGAACAACCGCATGATTGACAGGTGACAGGGACTGGATTCTACATAGCTGACCCTGATTCAAATCCTGGCCCCACAGCTTGTAAAACATGCTGGGTATATGTGTGTGCATGCCCAAAATACCAACAGGGATGGAGAAACAGAGGAGGAGAAGGGATTGTAGCATGACTTCACCCTTTTGAGAAGATACTTTTGCTTGCTTGCTCTCTCTCTCTCTCTCTCTCTCTCTCTCTCTCTCTCTCTCTCTGTATATCTATATCTATATCCAGAGCACATGCCCTTTGGCAAAAAAATTTTTAAGTATTTATTGGAGAGAGACATGCGAGGTAAAAAATGACATTCCAATTTGCTTTGCTTTTAACCTATAAGAATTTTTATGTAGTCCATCTGTGCTCCACTTTAATCACTATGTGGCTTATATTCTTTGCCATGTTCTTTTAGAGAAAATTCCTTGTAACAGGGTCACTGGAGAAGGCATCCACTTGGTAAAGGACTCCTGAGCAAGTTTTCCACAGGATGTACTACCCAATTATGGGGATGGAATTTCTTAATGTAAATAACTTAAATATAACATTAAAGGAGATATTGTCAAGTCTACCTGAAAGACTGTTTTACAGAGGCCATGTTTTCTGTATAATATCTATTGGAACACTGTTTATGAATGGTACTCAATATATACACATCTAGGGA